TAATGCCTTTAGCCGTCTATTGGCATGCTAAGAAATAATTGGTAATCTAGTGCCACTATGGTTTTTGCTAATGTGAACTCCTCTCAAATATGTCACAAATTATGATGCAGCTTGTTAGCACCACCGCACACAGAAGGCGCCAAACCGTGAAGCCAACCACATCGGGACAATCTACAGAAGGTGTCACACCATGCAGCCACATACACCGGGGCAACCTTAAGAAGGCGTCACACTGTACTCATACCGGGATAACCTACAGAGAAGGCGTCACACCATGCGGCCACCCACACCGGGATGGCCTAGACATATATTGCGGTTCCTTCTATATTGAACAAACAGCTCACTGAGCCATACCTCTTTCCAGCTCATGCTCGATGTCACTTGTAGTGAACAACAACGTTCACTCGCCTCTTAATAACACATTAGCTACTCGTTGGCATTCTAAGAAATAACCAGTTGTCATATAGAAGGTGCCACACCGTGCAACCAGCCATATCGATACAACCTATAAAAGGTGTCACATTGTGCAACCACCCACACCGGGACAACCTACAGAAGGCGCCACACCGTGCAGCCACCCGCACCGGAATGGCATGGAGATAGAGATAGAAAGAGAAACGCTCATAGGTGGACACATCAAGGACGAATATGTATTGTGGTATATATGTGGAGATTATGAATTTATGATATACCTTGTAATTCCATCTATATTGAACAAACAACTCACTAAGCCACATATATCTCTTTCTAGCTCATGCTCGGCGTAATTGCGGTGAACGGTAACTTCCACCCACCGCTTAATACCGCATTTACCCATCTGTTGGCATGCTAGGAAATAACTAGCTATGCAATGATGCTACAATTGCACTAACTAGTTGTCCAATGCCAAAACAGAAGGCACCACACCGTGCAGCCACCCACATCGAGACAACCTGCGGTAGGTGTCACACTGTGCATTCACCTGCGCTGGGACAACGTACAAAAGGAGACACAAGGTGCAACCACCCACACCGAGACAACCTACACAAGGTGCTACACCGTGCATCCACCCGCACCGGGATGGCCTAGAGATAGAGATATACAGAAAACACTCGCCGACGAACACATCAATGGCAAATCATCAATGGCAGATCCGTATTGAGATATTAGTGGAGATTATGAATTTATGGCGGATATTATGGTTTTGTCCATATTAAACAAACAACCCACTGAGCGCGACATATATCTCTTTCTAGCTCATGCTCGACGTTACTTGCAGTGAAAGGTAACGTTCACCCACCGCTTAGTAACACCTTTAGCCATCCGTTGGCATGCTAGGAAATAACCACTTGTCCAATGTCGCTACACCTGCACTAACGTGAACTCCACTCAAAGACGTTACAAATTTACATTACCAAAAGTTATGCCATATATTACATTGCTATCGATACCATCACCACAATTGAAAAAAATAATGCATGAACATATATCTTCTTTCACCGCGTCTCTGATTAATCGCGTAGAACCGAAGTTGTTTCATCGACACCAACTCACTAGCACAGAAGGCACCGCGCTATGCAGCCAGACACACCTGGATGCCCTGCAGATAGAGAGGGAGGGAGAAACGCCATGCAACCATGTGGATGACATACCATGCAACCACCCACACTGGGATAAGCTACAGAAGGCGCCACACCGTGCAGCCACCCACACTGGGATAACCTACAGAAGGCACCACACCGTGCAACCACCCACACCGGGACAACCTACAGAAGGCGCCACACCGTGCAGCCACCCACACTAGGATAACCTACAGAAGGCGCCACACCGTACAACCACCCACACTGGGATAACCTACAGAAGGTGCCACACCG